TTGGCCTCCCTAAGGACCGCTGGTTCTGAAAACATCCTCGACTAAACCAGGAATGGTTTGAATCAATGAAGGAAAACTTCTCCAGTGGTTTTTCTTTGAGGCGAACAGTAGAGGAATCAAACCCAGAGGAAGTACTGGATTATCAGGGAGTGTCTCACTTCCTGTCTCGGATATGAAGGACTCAAAACAAAAGCTCAGAGTCTTCAGCAGGAAGCGGAGACATTGAACACAAACGAGGCGCCGGCTGTCCCAGAAACTGCCTTCAAATCAAGAACAAGTCATTTAAAGCACAATTATGGTTAACCAGTGTTAGATTTAAAAGTCGGAATTATGATGTTCCCAGATTTAGGGGTGACGAGGTGTCAGCAAAATCCGTGTCAGTTTTTTTGCAGAGATACTTTCTCATTCAGCCACTGAGAATTCCATGTAAATTACCAAAGTTTTCCTTGTAAAAAGAAAGGACGTTTCTTGTAAATAGCCTCGGAAATCCTTGTCAGTTACCAGAGAGATAAATAACTACAGATTCCACATGACGAAAATCAATAGGTGAGTCCGCAAAGAACTACGTTTAAATAACCCGAGAAGGAAAAGGGAATTTCTTTTAAATAACCTGAGAGTTAATATAAGGGATTACAGAAATCCATGTAAAAAATCCTACAGAATTCAGTGAATAAAAAAGCAGACGATTCCGTTTTAGTAACCAGGGACTTCCTTGTAAATAACAAGAGAATTCCATGTTATTCCATGTTCCTTGTAATAGGAAACTGATGTTGGTTTACAATAGGGCTGCAGCTGTCGAACATTTTAGCATTCAAATATTCTGTCCAGTCCGTGACGATGTTTCACACGAAACAAGACCGTGGTCTGCTGCTAAAAATATAAAAATAAAACAAACACGTTATAAAAGTCCCAAACAGTCAAACGTTAAAGTCCCATTAATTCATTCACATTTTTTTACTGCGTGGGCGTCGGACGAGCCCCCGCACCGTGAGAACAAACATTGCAGCTCTAAAGCCGATCTTCATCCACGTACGCCACACGTCACGTGATCAGGAAGCAGAACATCCATGTGTTAGGAGATCGTTTTGGGCCGCTGCTGTAAAAAAAAAAAGTGAGGCACGAACCGGAAAAGCTTCTGCCGATCATAATTCAACAACGGGTTACGAAAGAACGGATAACGCTCGAAACACGCAGATTCTTCCTGATGTAAGAGGTGAGTCTCTGCTTTGTTTTGGTTGTTTTGGCGTCGACATCATCCTAGTTCCGTTCGGCGAGTCTCAAATAAAAATTTGGGCATCTTACTGTAAAAAAATTTACCATTAATGTAAAAAAGAAACTCTAAATGAACTATGTTCACATCCAGAATCGAACCCAGGTCTTCTGCATGGGAATTAAGCGTCTTACTAGGTGAGCTACACTGTAGTAACAGTCCTAGTATCTGTAACATTTATATTCTTGATGACAGCTGAAACAACGTCAGACCAAAGAACGGTTCGGAGTGAAAATGGCTGTTTTGTTGCTAATTAGCAGGAAATATCTAGAAGAAAGTTCTACAGAAAGTAGCTAAGGGTCCTCAGAAATGTAGCTAGCTTTGTCACTAGGCGTTAGGAACAGCGACAAAGTGGCACTGCCTCTCTCTCTGCTGCTAAAGCTACGGATAGCAAATGCTACGGGCGATACCTGAGCGTGAACGCGCATGAAGCAGCCTGCTCGACCCGAGCATCTCTCTTTTTCTGTGATTTTACAGAAAAACAGGCAATCACAGTAAAAATGCCAGGGCTCATTCTACAGGACCAGGGCATTGCAGGAGAATGTATGAAGAAGACATTTATTATTCCTATACATGTTTTGGCTGTCACACTTCCATAATGTCCCTTTAAACTTCAAAACTACAAATCAAACAAAAACACCTTCCTCTTGACCCTCGAGTGTGCCTAATAATCCGTCCTTGGACCCGATCCGATCCAGGCCACTAGACACCAAACAGAAAAACCTAAATCCTCAGACCTTTGCTAAACCTGTCACCGCGGGAGCAGCTGGGAACGTTGTCATCCTGTACAGAGGAACCGTTTGTCCTGCTTAAATGTGGTTCAACCCACGTCTTTGCAGCTTTTATTGTGTTGTCGTTCCATTGACTGAATAAAACTGTGGCGTGACTGCACTGATCAGGTTAATCTGGTTTATAATCTGTTACTGTAGGAAGTGTAATTAGTGTCTTCTTAGACTCGACCCAGATCCGGTTTTAGGATGAATGTGACGTTTGAGCAGACGGCAACAATTTCATGGAATAAACCATTTGACTGAAGCCACGACGTCGTGTTAATCTGCTGCAACTGTTGTTAAAACAAGAATTGTGTTTTTTGGTGCTGGAGCCGAACTCTTTAGGTTCAACTTTTCCATCTGAGGAAAAGTGGCTTTTTTATCTCCTGCCAGAACTTCTTGCTGACATCTGTGGACTGTTCGGATCAGAACCAGATCTGCTTTTGAGTCTTTGATCCAGGATTATGCACAAGATGTTAAGCACATTTGGCTTGATAATCCCAGGGTTTTCCCTGCTGGTATGTAATTTGATCCAATACGGATGTTTTATTGTCTAAAAGTGAAAAAGCTGTTGGACTTTTTCCTGAAATGCATTTGGAAGAATCTCCAGGGGTGGAAAAATGCTGTCCCAGACTCTGTGTGTGTGTGTGTGTGTGTGTGTGTGTGTGTGTGTGTGTGTGTGTGTGTGTGTGTGTGTGTGTGTGTGTGTGTGTGTGTGTGTGTGTGTGTGTATGTGTGTGTGTGTGTGTGTGTGTGTGTGTGTGTGTGTGTGTGTGTGTGTGTGTGTGTGCGCCGGACATCTGCTATGTCAATAATCCAAGGTTTTCCTTGTGGGTGTGTCGACCGCTGCAAGTGTGAAAGTGGATTTCTGTCTCTGCATCAAGTTCTGTGTCGGACCGTTTAACCCTTCGGGGGGAGCGTCTTACAAGGAAAACATTCAAGTCCACGTGTGTGTGTGTGTGTGTGTGTGTGTGCGTGTGTGTGTTTAGAAAAAGTTATGTATATATTTTAGTGGTAGCCAAGTTTACAACTTTACAACTGGGGCGACGGTGGCACAGGAGTTAAGAGCTCGCCCCATAATCAGACGGTTGCAGGTTTGAGCAGGGCCGTTGCTAGCTATTTTGGTGCCCTGAGCACAAGGGCTTCGTGGTGCCTTCCCCCCCCCCCCCCCCCCCCCACACACACACACAGAAAAAGCAACACAATAACATAGTATGTGCAAGCGCTTCGCCTTAAATTCTCACGGTCCATCTCCTTTCCTTTTTGTATTGTTTTCTCTCTGTAAACATGCTGTTAACTAGCTTTGCACATCTTCTAATTGAAGTCTGCCTTTATCACATATATATTATTTTTTCATAAGCTTGCGTTTGGTGCCCCCCCAGGCGTGGTGCCCTACACGCTGTGCGTGGTGTGCGTGTGCGGAGCCCCAGCACTGGGTTTGAGCCCCGCTCATTCTGTCTCTGTTGTTGTGTCCTTGGGCAAGGCACTTAATCCCTTTTGTCTGCTTGTGGTGGTCGGAGGGACCGGTGGCACCTGTGTACGGCAGCCTCGCCTCTGTCAGTGTGCCCCAGGGCAGCTGTGGCTACATTGTAGCTCATCACCACCAGTGTGTGAATGGATGAATGACTGATTGTGTTGTAAAGCGCCTTGGGGGGTTCCAGGACTCTAGAAGGCACTAAATCAAATACAGGCCATTTACTTTTAAAGTTTTGCTGTATAGGTCAACGAGGATTGTGTTTCCAGGAACATAAAAGATTCCCAGGATTATTTCCAGGACCATATTTGGACGTTGATTATTTCAACAAACCTAATATTCTTGTCAAATCTTTAAGTTTATTTTCTTTTTTTAATTTCAGACCAAAAGCTGTGTTTGTATTTCTGACAATTTAAATGTTTTTCTGAATGCTGAATATTTAATTTTTGCTTAAATTTTACAAGTTGAAACAATTTTTTCTGATGATATCCTTCTGAAAAGGCACAAGAAATCACCAAATTCACCTAAATTATATTATTTCTGTTACTGAAACATCTTCAGTCACGATTTTATTTTTATTTCCTTTAAAGAATCAAAAACTCATGAATCTGTTTTTTTCTGCCTGTGAGTGAAACAGCGTTCCTGCAGTTAAAGATGTTTCCAGACATTTCTGGAATCACACACACACACACACACACACACACACACACACACACACACACACACACACACACACACACACACACACACACACACACACACACACACACACACACACACACACACACACACACACACACACACACACACACACACACACACACACACACACACACATTTATTCAGCCCTCCTGTAGCAGATTTCTGTGTTTTTAACAGTCTTGAACAACATGCCAAAGTGTGATTTATGGTTGAACGTATTTATCTTCATGCAACACTATCCTTCCTTCCTTCCTTCCATCCCTCCTTCCTTCCTTCCTTCCTTCTTCCCTCCCTCCCTCCCGCCTTCCATCCATCCCTCCCTCCTTCCTTCCTTCCTTCCTTCCTTCCTCCCTCCCTTCCTTCTTCCTTCCTTCCCTCCCTCCCTCCTTTCCTTCCTTCCTTCCTCCCTTCTTCCCTCCCTCCCTCCTTCCTTCCTTCCTTCCTTCCTTCTTCCCTCCCTCCCTCCCTCCTTTCCTTCTTCCCTCCCTCCCTCCCTCCTTTCCTTCTTCCCTCCCTCCCTCCCTCCCTCCCCCCTTTCTTCCTCCCTCCCTCCCTTCCTCCCTCCCTTCCTTCCTTCTTCCCTCCCTCCCTCCCTCCTTTCCTTCCTTCCTTCCTTCGTCATTCCCTCCCTCCCTCCTTCCTTCCTTCCCTCCCTCCCTCCTTTCCTTCCATCCTTCCTTCCTCCCTCCCTCCCTCCCTTCCTTTCTCCCTCCCTCCCTCCCTCCCTCCTTCCTTCCTTCCTTCCTTCCTTCCTTCCTTCCTTCCTCTCCTCCTCTTCCTCCAGTTGACATACGGGAGATCCGGGAGCTGCGGTTGGGGAAGGGCTCCCGGGACTTTGAGCGTTACCCGGAGGAAACTCGTAAACTGGAGCCGACCCACTGCTTCATCATTCTGTACGGACTGGAGTTCCGCCTCCGGACCCTGAGTCTAGCAGGTTGGTCTTCATTTTTCCTCTTGTAACTTAAAAACCCATCAGGATGTTTGGTTTAATCAGCAAAAATGTTGGTAGCAGAACAAAACTCACAAAAATCAAACCTCTACATACAAAGTAATAGGATTCCTGTTACGACAGGTGAAGAAGCCCCGCCCCTTTTTGGACCTCAGGTGAACTTCACAGTAGGAACATAAGTCAGAGCTTAAATGAAGTGGGACTTCGCAAATGCTTGCTTAGTATGAGGATTGCTGTAAAGACTCTGACACTAGCCAGTGACTCGATGCAACCTGCTGGGTTCCTTTTATAGGGAAACGTTTTAGTCACTAGCTTAATGACCTGACCTGTACTGGAATGTTTACTGTGTGAAGTGCCTTGAGACGACTTGTTGTGATGTGGCGCTTTACAAATAAACTGATTCGAAACTGAATTGATGGATGAATGGAAAATGTAGATGTTTTATTACAGAACTTAAAGGGACATTGTGTAGTTTTTATCATCAATCTCTGGACATATCCGTCAAGATGTTGTTGAAAATTAATGAAATGATGCTCAGTTGTTGAAAAATATTAGCGGCTTCTTTACACTATAAAAATCAGGTCGAAAATGCATGGGAGGGGGTCTAAGTCTCTGGGACACGCCATATTAGATGTCATGTTAACTTCTACAGGAGCCCTTGAGGACAAAATGCATTTACTGAGTTGTAAAAAACAGTCACAAAACTTTCACTATTAATAAATGTTGTTGTTTTACACATTAACCTCTTTACTCGTTGTCAGAGATGAAAGGGAGTCTGATGTGCTCGTCATTTTGCTAAAGTTTGCACTCCCTAGGGCTTTTTGACCCTAATGGGCATCCGTTGGTAAGGTCTTACTCCAACACAAAAATACAGCTTGCTTGGTATCTACTGCCCCCTATCGCCAGGAAAAATACACGCTGTCCCATACATTTGGATTTATAGAAGGAAGATGATATATGTGGGAATTCTGGGAATTGGAACAATCAGGAATATTCTAGTGCATCCATTTTCTTTTAGCATTTTTAAAGAAAAATCCATTTTTAGAGCATTTAAAGAAATTCAAACATAAAGAAGTCAGATGCTAATTGTCTGATTTGTAGTCGTTTATCGGAGGTTTTAATTGTCACTTTTATCACTTTCAGGTAATAACTGGGACCATTTCAGTGGTTTCCTTGTTTACCAGAACGATCCGTTAACTTTTACTGTAAATCAGCTTTAAATCTGCTGACCTGAAGTAACCCCTTAGCTCACGTGAGACATTTAGATCAGAATAAAAATAAAAACTAATTCCCAAATACAAAGTTTGATCAAAGCCAGAGTGGAAGTCTTGGTTTTGGACCAACGCGTGCTTTCCTGGGACTGTTTTCACGTTTGGAACATTTTGTGTGTTTTTGTGCTCCGTTTGTCTGCGACTGCAGCCTTCAGCGAGGACGAAGTCAACATGTGGATCACCGGACTCAGCTGGCTGATGATGGACACTCAGAGAGCGCCAGCGCCGCAGCAGATCGACAGGTAGCTTCCTGTCTGTGTGCACTGTAAAACAAACCCGTCCTGACCCGTTTGGTCTCAGCACTACCGCCGTTTTTATATTGCTGGACCATTAAATCTACCAGTTTGAAGCGGAATTGAATCCCAGAATCATCAGCACGTCCGCAGCAGAGAGGTGCCAGCCTGGACTCGGAGCACGACGACGGAACAAATATTTGCTTTGGGATGAAAATATTTGCTGCAGATGAATGTGTGGAGGCTGTTTTTGACTTCTGGGCTGAAAGCAGGAAAACACAGCGAGGCTGTGAAGGAGACCGCTTTGTTTTAGACAGAAAGTAGTGGGAGGAAATGGAAAAACGCTAATTCTGTCTATCGGGTTCTGTCAACTGTTTGGATCCATCAGCTGAGTGGGATTTTATCCTGAATGTGAAGATAATGAAAATGTGACTTTAAAGGTTGACTTTACTGATATTTTAATACGTTTAGAATAAATGTCGGGGGGGGGGGGGGGGGGGGGTTGCTTGAGGAAGTAGAAGTCAGCCAGAGGATTTAGAGTCTTAATGCCTGATATGTAGACATCTGTCCTCTGATTGGCTAATAGCAACACGACTCTACCACCGACTCTGGTTGCTCTGCAACGTTGATGTTTTATCTCCACAAATAACTCAAGCCTGGAGGAGTTCTGCTGTGAGGTGGAGTTGCTGGTCTAGAGCTAATCTATAGACCTGAAGGACCTGATCTAGAGCTAATCTATAGACCTGATAGAACCTGGTCTAGAGCTAATCTATAGACCTGAAGGACCTGATCTAGAGCTAATCTATAGACCTGAAGGACCTGGTCTAGAGCTAATCTATAGACCTGAAGGACCTGATCTAGAGCTAATCTATAGACCTGAAGGACCTGGTCTAGAGCTAATCTATAGACCTGAAGGACCTGGTCTAGAGCTAATCTATAGACCTCAAGGACCTGATCTAGAGCTAATCTATAGACCTGAAGGACCTGGTCTAGAGCTAATCTATAGACCTGAAGGACCTGATCTAGAGCTAATCTATAGACCTGATAGAACCTGGTCTAGAGCTAATCTATAGACCTGAAGGACCTGATCTAGAGCTAATCTATAGACCTGAAGGACCTGGTCTAGAGCTAATCTATAGACCTCAAGGACCTGGTCTAGAGCTAATCTATAGACCTGAAGGACCTGGTCTAGAGCTAATCTATAGACCTGAAGGACCTGGTCTAGAGCTAATCTATAGACCTGAAGGACCTGGTCTAGAGCTAATCAAGAGACCTGAAGGACCTGGTCTAGAGCTAATCTATAGACCTGAAGGACCTGATCTAGAGCTAATCTATAGACCTGAAGGACCTGGTCTAGAGCTAATCTATAGACCTGAAGGACCTGGTCTAGAGCTAATCTATAGACCTGAAGGACCTGGTCTAATGGCTAATCAAGAGACCTGATAGGACCTGGTCTAGAGCTAATCTATAGACCTGAAGGACCTGATCTAGAGCTAATCTATAGACCTGAAGGACCTGATCTAGAGCTAATCTATAGACCTGAAGGACCTGGTCTAGAGCTAATCTATAGACCTGAAGGACCTGGTCTAGAGCTAATCTATAGACCTGAAGGACCTGGTCTAGAGCTAATCTATAGACCTGAAGGACCTGGTCTAGAGCTAATCTATAGACCTGAAGGACCTGGTCTTGAGCTAATCTATAGACCTGAAAGGGCCTTGTCTAAAACTAATCATCAATATACTTGCTCAGACGTGGACTAGAGCTCATCGATTGGCCTGATCAGACCTGATTTAGAGATAATTAATGGACCTGAAAGGACCTGATCTAGAGCTAATCAATAGATCTGGATTTGTTCACTTCCTGTCTATCTGCAGGTGGTTGAGGAAGCAGTTTGAGGTCCTGGACCGGAGCCATGAGGGCAGGTGAGTAACTCTCCAAACAACCAAGCACAGCCTTCCCAGGATCCCTTTGGTAGATGCTGACTGGTCGGAGTGCTGCATCGGAGAACATCCGAGATCCTGTTTGGGTCTGTTTGGGTGTGATCCTCTCCAGGACAAACAGCCTGCCAACGCTTGATAAGGAGCAGGAAGTGATGTAATGGACAGGGAGAGGACTACGTCCTGTCTCCTGTGAAAATAGCAACAGTAGTCAGACTGAGCTGGGGTCAATGACCCTGAGATCCAGACAGGATTCGAAGTACAGAGGAGCTAAGGGGAGCCAGGCTCACCCGAAAGGGTGACGGGCTCCCTCGGAAGCCCTCAACTTCCGCACCCGGGGCGGGCCTGGAAAAAGATCCTGGTTCTGCTTTTATTACTTTATTTATGTGGACTCTCCAGGGTTCTGTTGAGCGGACAGGACGCAGAGCGCTGATCTGTGATGCACTCCAGGCAGCTGCGTCCTGCGCACGGCCTCAGTTACACCTCAAACGAAACGCACTCAACACACGACCGTTTATGTCGGCTCGTGTCCTCTGGTGCGTTCTGTCTTTGGTTTGTGCCTGATGCACGTTGCTGCTGCAGAGCAGAGTGCATCACCTGACTTGTGCTCCGGTGACTCCGGCCGGCGCACACTCCGCTATTTTAAAGGTCGGCAGATCCTTTTGGTCTGCTTAGTTCAAAAGTAACTCATGAGGTTAAAATATAGGAAGCCACAGCAGCTTTTCTGTGGGATCGAGAGGAGATGCAGGGAGATGAGAGACAGACAGGAAACCAGTCAAAGATTTATCCCACTGCACCCTTTTAGCTTCATAAAGCAATCATTTATAAGCATGTAATGATTTTATATTTGACACAGTTCAGATCACCTTTGAAACTCAGTCAGGGCCATTTAAAGGCACTTCGGGGGCCAAGGCAAAAGTAAAGCCCCCCCGGGCTGTCATGTTCTGTGGTATTCTTTTGACCCACGACATGCAGAATCAGAGACGGAAACAGGGAATTTATTTTAGAAGGGAGAACTCAAAGCGCTGCTCAAACTGATGCAGGAAGTACCAGGCTGCTCTAAAGGAGAGACAAAAGGTTAATATCAGTGAGAGATGATGGGATGGATAACTGAAGGTCTAGGCGTACTGTAAGGAGGTGGCTAGAGGGCGTGCGAAGGAGCACTGGTTGGTCTTATGAAGATGGGTTGCAAAGGGGTCTTGATGAAGACGAGGTCCAGAGTTCCTGTGTGGTGAGCTTAAAGGGTTAGGCGGTAGGGGCGTGGTGGACAGCGTACAGCCAGGAGTTGGAGCTGATGAGAAGTTCTTGGAGATGGCTGGAGGAGATGGTTCCTTGAAGGGATAAGAGGAAGGATTATTCTTGGTCCTAGTCAATTAGAAATCTGCATCACAAAACATTTCTTAGTCTACGTCTTAGTCTTAGCTTGACAATACATTTTTAATCTGGCTCGAACTACCCAGGTTGAGTAATCGTCCGGGAAGAGTGTTGAGGAAGTCAGCTCCTTAAATACGCCCAGGAGGATGATTGGAGATGAGCTGGCTGCAGCTGGCCGCTGCTCCTGCTCTCTAGACACGCCCACCTGCAGACTCTCAGACCTAAAAACTTGGTGAGAATAAAAACAGCCCGTGACACGGGCTCCCCCGGAAGCGTCTGTGTAGTCCGTACCCTGGATCCAGATCTGGTTTTCTGACTCTCTTCCTGTTGGTGCTGACTCCGTGTGTTTGGATAAACCGGTAGATCGGCTGTAGACGTGCGCCTTTTTGTTTTGCTGTTTCTTCTCCAGCATCACGCTGAAAGATGTCAAAGCTCTTCTGCCTCAGATCAACTACCGAGTTCCCAACACGCGATTCCTCAAAGACAAGCTCCAGGTCAGAATCTCTTTAGGAGTTTTTTCGGTCCCGCAGCTCCTCCTCGGATCTGGGAGGGACTAACCGGTGTTCTCCCCAGGAGGTGGAGGCGAGGAGCGAGCTGTCGTACCCAAACTTCGCTCAGCTCTACAGAACGCTGATGTTCGACTCCCAGAAGAGCGTGAGTGTCTGGTTATTTTTCTCTGTTTTGTTAAAGCAAACATTAGTTTCATTACAACATTTTCATTTTTTTTGTTTTTGTAATAAAAACAAACTTTCACGTCTCCTCCACAAACATTTAAGTAATCGCCGCTTCGGGATCTCCTGCTCCCTCCTTTGAGCAGCCTGTTGAGTTTGTGCACCACTGCCCTCTGCACACCTTGCTCACGTTGTCCTGTTTATGCTTCACCTGCCCCCCCTCCCTCCCCTCCTGCTCCACCCACCCGTCACCTGGCTCCTCCCCTTTTTTTCCTCAGATTATTGAGCAGCTGGAGCTCTCCTTTCCCCTACGGTGAGTCCCTCCACCATCTCCTTCGTCTTCATGTCCTTCACTCTTATTCACCTGCCTGTTCGGCCGATCTTTAGCATCAGAAAGTGGTTCCATGTGTTTCAACCACCTTAATGAGATCTAATTATCTCGGTTCGGTGCACGTAGAACATTTTCGGACTGCTTTGGGGGCATTAACCTAAAACAAAGGCTGCAGTTAAATCTGACTTCACTACAGCCAAAACGTCTGATTCAGCATCTGTCGCGTTTCAGAAATGTCGACCGGCCTGAGCTCTGTCAGATCTCGCTCTACGACTTCCAGAAGTTTTTACAGATGGACCAGAAGGTACCGAGTAAAGTGTGGAGACAGAAAAGTGTCAGAGGCGGCTCTCTGTTGAATTTTCTCTCTGTGGCTGGTCTCAGGAGTCCTGGGCGTCGGATCTGGGTCGGGTCAGAGAGTTTCTGATGGGCTACGTGACGGGGGGGTCACAGCCAGAACCAATGCTACAGCTGGATGAGGTGGAGACACGACACAGAACTTAAACCGTAGAAGCTTCTCTGCTGTATCATCTGGGTATCTGTTCTTTACTTTCCTAGTTCCTGACCTTCCTGTTCTCTAAAGAAAACTCCATTTGTGACCCTCGCCTGTCTCCCGTCATTCCTGGTGACATGAAACGACCTCTGTCTCAGTACTGGATCTCCTCCTCACACAACACGTAAGAGTCGGTTTGTTACAGACGCTCTCTGTCTGTCCCGGGTGTTATTTTTACCCTCCTGCTCCTTTAGCTACCTGACAGGTGACCAGTTTTCCAGTGAATCCTCTCTAGAAGCCTACGCGCGGTGTCTGAGGATGGGCTGCCGCTGCATCGAGCGTAAGAAAAGCCAACTTTTAATGTAAAATGTTAAAATCAGAACATGTTTTGATGAGTTAGGGTTTCTTTTGGAACTCAGTGGATTGCTGGGATGGACCTGACGACCTACCAATCATCTACCACGGTCACACTTTAACCTCAAAGATCAAATTCTTGGATGTGCTGCACACCATCAAAGAACACGCCTTCGTCACGTCAGAGTAAGTTCAGTCTGACTTCAGCGCCAGCGTCCTAGCTGTGGTTTACCCTCCCTAAAGATCTACCTGTGCAGGTATCCTGTGGTCCTGTCCATCGAGGACCACTGCAGCGTGGTCCAGCAAAGGAACATGGCCACACACTTCAAGAAGGTGTTTGGAGATCTGTTGCTCATGAAACCTGTGGACAACAACGCGGACGAACTCCCATCCCCATATCAGCTCCGCAGGAAGATCCTCATCAAGGTGACAACATGATCATGAAACTGTGGCTTTTTATCCCTGAGAACCTGAACGATGGGAATCCCCCGCTGCCCCGAAGACGCTGTGGTTGACTCTCAGTTCTGTCGCATCACAGCACAAGAAGCTAGTGGAAGGAAGCGTGTATGAGGAGGTAGCGTCAGCCAGCTACTCTGAAAACGACATCAGCAACTCGCTGAAGAATGGCTTCCTTTACCTGGAGGATCCCATTGACCACGTGAGTGTGTGTCTGTGGAGCTACGAACCACAAAAGTGCCACTAAAACAAATAAATATGTGGAAAGAAATAAAACTAATGTGTTTAAATAAGAAAAAGTGGAAATGTAAAGGTGAGGGATCAGACAAAGAGCAGCCCTCTTGTTCACTGGGATAAAGCCCAACGTACAGGCACCAAGATGGGGGCAACTAGTATGCCCACCCCTGCTCGGTGCCTCTCAGTGGGAGCAACTCCCGAGTGGTAGAAAGTCCAACCCCTCTCAAGGAAACTGGTTCCAGAGCCAGAGCCATGCGTTGAGGTGAGTCCGACTATATCTAGTTGGAACCTCTCAACCTCACACACCAACTCAGGCTCCTCCCCCACCAGAGAGGTGACATTCCATGTGCCAAGAGCCAGCTTCTGTAGCCGAGGATCAGACCGCCAAGGTCCCCGCCCTCGACTACCACCTGCCACACACTGCACCCGACCCCTTTAGTCCCTCGATGAACGAGGAGCCCATGGGAAGGGTCAGAGTCTGGAGCCGGCCGCTGATTGAACAAGCTGCCGGTAACACTGTAAAAGGAGGACATGTCCACAGCTGTGAGGGAACGCATTAGATGTGACCATCTGAAAAGTATTTACACATCCAGGGTTTCCCCTGGTTTTAAAAGTGTTACCGTGGAAACAGTGAGCGGGGGCGGGTCAAGGCACGAGGAGTAAACTGCTGCTGCAGCTCAACCAAACTCACAGTTTGGTAAATAAAATGAATTCTTTTAAATTTGCTTCTTTTATCTTTTTTAATAAAACAAACATATTTGTGAATTATTTTAGCACTTCTTTTATTCCAGATCCCACATCCAGAGTAAATGTTCCTGACTGGTTTACGTGTGTTTTACAGACATGGACGCCACATTATTTTGTCTTAACCAGCAATAAGATTTATTACTCAGAAGAGACGTCTCACAGCCAGACGGCTGATGAAGAGGAGGAAGACGAAGGAAAGGAAGTAAGAGTTCCTGATGAACAAACGCTCTTTCTAGGAAAATGAGTGCTTCACAGCTTTATTTGTCAGCTGGAGTGAGCTTATTTCATTTTTTCCCCTGTCATCAGGAGTGCAACAACAACGAGCAGCACTGTGCGGAGCGCTGGTTCCACGGGAAGCTGGGCGGAGGGCGGGATGGTCGGCAGGTGGCGGAGAAGCTTCTGCAGGAATACTGCGAGGGTGGCGGAAAAGATGGCACCTTCCTGGTGCGGGAGAGCGAGACGTTTGTGGGAGATTTTACCCTCTCGTTCTGGTGAGTGGGCAAAAACCCCTCGTCATAACCTCTGTTATCATCCTCATATTAGCTTCAAAATCACTCCTGATCCAGCGGCCGAAGGGTTACTAATAACAATAACATACACCCTTATAATGTATTAGTCGAGAACACGTTGACTTCATCACCCCAGGACCTGCAATCTGACTATAACGCATGCATATGTTGCCATGCCGACGCTCAGACGTAACATTGTGCAGCTCTAGTCTGATGGTTAAAAACTGGGGATGCACCGATACCGATTCCAGTATCGGGATCGGTAAAAGTTAACTGATACCAATGCAGTTGCTTGAAAATGGCTTCCCTGTAACTTGTCATTTCTGTTCACCTAATATTTTAGTTTTGTGATGATTTCTGTTCATATATTTTACTTTTCATCTACCTCACAGTCTTTTGCTGTTGAAAGCAGAGAAGAAAATAAAATCTGTATTCCAAGTCATTGCATTTTTTTGTGTGGTAGAAGTATCGGTGTCGGCGAGAACTCAGATGCAAGTATCAGTATCGTATCGGTTTTGAAAAAAGAGGTATCGTTGCATCTAGCGATGGGTACCGAATTCGGTACTTTTTAAGGTACCGACCGAATTCCATAGTACCGACTGAGCACCGATTCACGTCATTTGAAACGGTGCCTCGTTTCGTTACCCGTCCTTCATAACGAGAACTTGCCTAGACAGCTGCGCATGCGCAAGAGCGTTATGTCGTCGGTCGCTGCGAGCCAGTTGTAAACAGAGCAGCATGGTAGAAAGAACGCACGCTAAAGCTTGGGTCCACTTCACTAAATGTGATGGGTAACTGGGTGATGATGAAACCAGCGACAACGATCTAAGTGAGACATCCTCGTCTTAATCTGCTCCGGTAGGTAAATAAAATGTTTAAGATAACGTTAGCTTGATATGTTAGCTTCCTTTCCGCTAATGGTGCGTTTGCTTTCTCCTCGGCAATTCTAACTTCCCAGTAGGAAAAATCAAATGAAAAAAGACGGCAAAAGGAATGAAGATACGCAGTAAATTTAGTTCACAGTAAAGATGTTTGCTTCAGTTTAATTATCAGCTTATAAAACTACAAGGACGATGTTAAAATACAAACAGTTGTATGTTATTTATCGTGATATTTATCAAATATTGTTATAAATTGAGAAAAATATATATTTTATTATAAAAGAGAATTAAAATATTAAACACTCAAAATTATCTAAAATTGGTACCGTTAACTCATTCACTGCCAGCCGTTTCCTGATCACTAACGGCCTTCGCTGCCAGCGTTTCTCACCGTTTTTACTGTTTTTTAAAAGTCACAGAACGTTGCACGCTAGCATGATGCCGATGCCAAAACAACCTAAACAAAGAGGAGACTCACCTCTTACATCAGGAAGAAGCCGCGCGTTTCGAGCGTTATCCGTTCTTTCATAATCCGTTGTCGAATTGTGATCGGCAGAAGCTTTTCCGGTTCGCGCCTCACTTTTTTTACAGGAACGGCCCAAAACGATCTCCTAACACATGGATGGTCTGCTTCCTGATCATGTGATCTGTGACGTATGTGGATGAAGATCGGCTTCAGGGCTGAGATGTTTGTTCTCTCAGCGCGGGGGCTCGTTCCGATGCTCAAACAGTAAAAAAATGCAAATGACGACTTTAGTCGTCATTGGCAGTGAACGGTTGGATCTAAAATGACGACTTTAGTCGTCAATGGCAGTGAATGAGTTAAGTACCGGTATCGACTCCTAGGTACCGGGAATTTGTACCGAATCGATTCAGATGTCAAAGGTACCCATCCCTAGTTGCATCCCTATTAAAATATCTTCAACCATAAAATCTGCTCCTTACCTAAAGGGTTCATTTTGTTCCTTTTCCTCCTCCAGGCGGTCTGGTCGGGTCCAGCACTGCCGCATCCACTCCCGTCAGGAAAGGGGCTGCACCCGCTTCTACCTGACGGACAACCTGGTGTTTGACAGCCTCTACCGTCTCATCTGCCACTACAGAGAAACGCCGCTGCGCTGCAACGAGTTTGAGATGAAGCTGGGAAACCCCGTGCCTCAACCCAACGCTCACGAGAGCCGAGAGTGAGTAGCAACGGTGTTCCTATACCTGCATCCACTGACTTAATCATGCCTTTTCAGGGATGTCAGGCACCAGTGAGGACCCTGATTAAATAGAAATAATAATAAACGATGGAGGATATCCAGATGTTTCTAACATGATGCTTTCATCCAGAGGCGGGGAACCTTGGTCCTGGAGCGTTATCTCCCTGTTCCAACACTCCTGATTCAGAGGTTGAATCACCTGTTCAGCAGGTCTGAAAGCTCGGACGAAGCCTGTTAATCACTCGCAGATTAAAATCAGGTCATGTAGGAGAGCAGCGTTGGGATCTGTCGTGGCGAAGAGAGAGCTAAGCCTGAAGGCCATGCTCTCGATCTACGCTCCTACCCTCACCTATAGTCACGAGTTTTGGGTGGTGACCAAAAGAATGAGATCGCAGATACAAGCGGCTCTCCCTAGGAGAAGGGGTGAGAAGCTCGGTCATCCGGGAGGGGCTCGGAGTAGACCGATTTCGTTTTCACCTTTGATGTTTCTCCGTAAAATGTGTATATATTAGGGATGAGTGAGCACACCACTGTCTGTATCTGTTCCACCATCTAAATGATCAGTGTCTGTACTCGCAGTGGGCGTGGTCTAACCTGGAAGTGGGTGTAGTTTAACCACAAGTGGGTGTGGTTTACATCACTACATTATTTTAAGTCTGAAATTGATATGGATTGATCAGAAGTTGCTATGTGTGTTGTTTATTTGAAAACTATTTACAGAGCAGCCTCAGACTTGAGATTAAATATTTTCACAATAGTAAAGGAACTATTACAGAACAAGTTTTTCAATAAAATCTGGACATTAATATTTAGGTACATGAATTAATACATACAGAGAGAGAGAGAGAGAACCCGAGCGGAGGAAGTGACCGATGCAGCACGAGCCGTTTCCAGCTCTGTCTTGTAAAATGCACCGCGTACGTTATGAAAGAAGTAACTTTAAATATTAAACCGACAAAGAGGCGAGCTGAAGAAAACCTAGGGAGTCCTGAAGAAACGTGAGCAACAGTGAAGCAAGCACAGAGAGATCTGTTACTGTGTGTGTGTGTGTGTGTGTGTGTGTGTGCGTGCGTGCGTGCGTGCGTGTGTGCGTGGATGGGCCGGACGGACTGAGCTCCTGGCTGCAGTGTTGTGTGTAGGGATGGGCGGGCGCTCTATGTGACTGGCCAATCACAGAGCGTGAAGACAGTCAGTTACCCAATGAGGATTTTCCTTCAGCATGATTACAGATATTTACGAGTTTTACTCGTTTCATGCTCGTATTCGTCAAAAATGCTCTATCCGTACCAGATACTCGTCTGAAACGAGTATCCGGCTCATCCCTAGTATATATTGCTTTAAACGGCTCCAATCTCTTAAATTTCACAGATAATTATGTGATTGTTACTTAGCCATAGTTTTCTTTTTATTTATAAGAGTAGAAATCAGCTGTTTTAGCAGTTTAGTGTGGGCTGGTTTGTTTTTCTGACTACACTCTGTTCCAGAGGGTTCCTACTGCGGGTCACATGGTTTTATTTACAAATTCATCCAGAAACATTCTTCAGAATGACATGAAATCCATCTTAAGCCATCGCTCTGGCAAAGCGGGTTGCAGATACTGCAGCTGTGCAGATTTTATGGAGACAAAGAGCAGGAAACAGGGTGGTCATTTGTGGTCACGTGACCGTGTCCCACTGCATCACTGAAGAAATCAAACCTCCACTTCCTGTTGTCCAGGTGGTACCACTGCAACCTGTCCCGTGTTCAGGCTGAACACATGCTGATGAGAGTTCCCAGAGACGGAGCCTTCCTGGTGCGAAAACGCAGCGAGCACAACTCCTACGCCATCTCCTTCAGGTAGAACAGGAAGCTGCTCAGAGTTTCACAATAAAACTTTCCTCTTCTGATCATCTTTGAACGCTTGTTGGTGTTTCCTGGTTCTCAGGGCGGAGGGGAAAATCAAACACTGTCGTATCCAACAGGAGGGTCGGCTCTTCATGCTGGGAAGTTCAGCTGAGTTTGAGAGTCTGGTGGATCTGGTGAACTACTACATGAAGCATCCTCTCTACCGGAAGATGAAGCTCCGATATCCAATCAACGAAGACACTCTGGACCGGATGGGAACAACGGTGAATTAAAGACACTCCAGCTGATTCGTCCTTCATTGTAACTCGACACAGCCTAAAAGGCAGAGTTTTCAAAGTAAAACTAATTCATGGCAACAAGTTAAACTTTTTAGGGATGTACCGATACTGATACTGGTATCAGTATTGGTGCCGATACTGATACCGATTCCAGTATCTGTATCGGTAAACGTTAACCGATACCAATGCAGTTGCTTGAAAATGGCTTCACTGTAACTTGTCATTTCTGTTCACCTAATATTTTAGTTTTGTGATGATTTCTATTCATTTATTTTACTTTTTGTCTACCTCACAGTCTTTTCCTTTGAAAGCAGAGAAGAAAATAAAATCTGTATTCCAAATCATTGCATTTTTGTGTGTGGTAGATGTATCGGTATGTGTAATCGTTATCGTCGAGTACTCAGAACCAAGTATCGGTATCTGTTTGGAAAAAAAGGGGTATCGTTGCATCCCTAAAACTTTGATCCATAAAGCTTAAAGAGCAAGTCACCCCCTACCAGACTATTACTCCACTCCCACTTCCTGTTTGAAAAATGCAACAAATGCTGTTGCCTAGCAGACTGAGAGGGCGGAGCCGCTAACAAATACACACACACAGGCTCACAATGACATTGTGACATCATATGGTACCAGCTAACGTTCTAGGGTACCTCTTAGCCAATAGCGATGGCAGATTTAAATTCAAATGCAGTGCAGAGTTTTTACCTGACAACAGAACAACACTGACAGTTTTAGGCAGAAAATTAAAATTTTAACTAAAATGCACTAAAGCGCAAAACTATTGACTACACGTGTCTGCAGCACCATTAGACACGCATTTATATAGTTTATCAGGGAAAAAATGTTGATTTGGGGGTGACTTGCTCTTTAAAGAAATAATTGAAACATGTTTGTTGTTCTTCTCAGGAGCTGGACTACGGAGCGCTGTACGAGGTCCGCACTCCTCACTTCTACGTGGAAGCCAACAAGATGCCCACAGCGCGGGTAAGTTAGAACGGAAATACTCCTAGAGGTTTGTCTGCAGACCAAGAACACGTCTGATATTGAAACTGAAATTAGAAAGATCAAAACCAGTAGAGTGTCTTCTCCATCCCCAGTGAGTCGTGGTGCATGGCTGCTTATACTGAGCCAGGATCCTCTAACCCTAACCCTTAAGCCAAAGTTTTAAATCAGGACACTTTTCTCCAATTGAAATAACCAGAAGTCCTCCAGACTCTCTGAAAGATAGAAGGGTTTCCATGTTCCCCACCACATCAACGCTCTCCGAGCTCCTCCTCAGCGAGCCACTTGCTCGCCCACTGCCAGCAGTGAGAGGCGGAGGAGGTGAGAAAAGGCTCAGATGCGCTGATGGAGGTCTTTTCTTGATTGTTACCTCCGCGATGTTCTCTGTGTGTAACGTGCCAAATATTTGTCAATAACAAACAAACTCACGGGTAAATAAATAAACAAACAAATCGCCTCCTGTACAAAAACCACCATCACCGATTCATTCGTCCCATCACCCAACCCTATTTCTTACACGACGTCTCTGCCTGCAGTGTACGGTCAAAGCCCTGTACGACTACCGAGCTCAGAGAGAAGACGAGCTTTGCTTCCCCAAACAGGCGCTCATCATCAACGTGGAGAAGCAGGAAGGAGGCTGGTGAGTCCCGGCGCCTGCAGCCTCCTCGGTGTTCTGCTGAGACGCCGCTCTGTTAGCATGTTTGTTGTGTTCAGGTGGCGCGGCGACTATGGAGGAAAGAAGCAGCTGTGGTTCCCTGCCAACTACGTGGAGGAGTCGCCCAGCTCTCCCACCAGGGAGCTGGACGACACTGTAAGTTGGGATTCAAACTCGCGCCTCACGGGAGCTTCTGTACCACTGTTGGAAAATTATGTTTTTCTTTTGTTCCCAGTCGACAGAAAACAGCCCTCTGGGAACGTTCCTGAAGGGCTTCATCGATGTTCCCACCTGCCACGTTGGTGAGAAAACATTGTTTGCGTGTTTTGTTGATGTCGCCATCTTAAAACTTCTCCTAATTTGCTGATTTTGAGGAAAGAGTTGTATTTTTTGTTTAAAGTTTATTTTCATTTATTCACAATTAAAAACAAAACATAAAACAGGTTTACGACAACAAAAAATGAAAAAGGAACAGAAAGAAGCAAAACTTATGTTATCTGTTCCCCTTAACCAAAATAAATACAAATAACAACAAAGTTATTATAGTTTAAAAAAAACTGTCTGACCTGGTTTACTGATTGAGCTTTGGCAAAAAATGGAGAGAAAACAAACATGTACACAAAAAATTATTTTTCTTCTTATATTAATGAAAGGAGAAAACAAATAATGCAAAATAAAACACACAAACAATAATAGCTGAAGAAACAAAGCAGAACATACGATGTGTGTTTTCCCTTTCATTCTCTCTACTTCATAAATGCGTCTATCTCATAGCATCAAATAAGCTAAGCATTTCATTTTTAATATGTTTATTAAAGGTATATATTGTTTTGGTATTCTTGATTTTGGTACTTAATTTATTCCACATTTTGACTCCATATATTGATACACAACATTCCTTTATATTTATCCTATGTTTTGGTATCGTGTATATTTTGTTGCCTTTCAAATCATAACCACTCTTTCTTTCCATAAATCGTATGATTAAATTTGTTGGAAGGTGCATTTTGTCGACTTTATACATAAATTTCAAAATAGTATAATCTACTAGGTCGTAAAATTTTAATGTTTTTAATTTGATAAATAATCGGCTGTAATTGCTTCTTGTTATAATTATTATTGCTTTTTTTGTAAGATAAAAACTGAATGTGTATAGGTTTTATATGTTATTCCCCAAATTTCAACACAGTAGTTCAAGTACAGTACAAGCAACTAATTGTGTAATAAATTTAGGGATTTGTCATCTAGTGACCATTTCACTCTGTGTAATATTGCGATTGATTTAGCTATTTTAGTTTAGATATTATTTATATGTGGTTTCCAAGATAAATCCTCATCAATGATGACTCCCAAAAATTTAACTTCCTTTACTCTTTTAAAACAGATTTCGTCTAATTTTATTAATGTTTTTATTTTCAACTTTCTATTACTGAATATCATGAAATATGTTTTATCCGTGTTCAATGAAAGCTTATTTCCATCGAACCATAATTTGGTTTTTTTCCAACTCTGTATCACTTCTATCGTTTGATCAGTATTGTCTCCTGAATAATAAAAAGTTGTGTCATCTGCAAATAAGATACACTTTAACATAGTAGATGTAGAGACAATATCATTTATATAAATAATAAATAGTTTAGGGCCTAGTACCGACCCTTGTGGTTCTCCACAAGTAATATTATCCAGATTGGATTTGATGTTGTTTATTTGAACATACTGTTTCCTGTCATGTAAATAACTCATTATCCATTTTAGGGCTGTTCCTGTTATGCCATATTTACTAAGTTTTTTTTAGAAGAATGTCATGATCGAATGCTTTTTTTAGGTCAATGAAGATACTTATCAATTTTTTTTTGTTTGTCAATGGCTTCCGATATTTCTTCTGTTAATTCCATTAGTGCCATTGAAGTTAAGCGATTTGGTCTAAACCCATACTGACTGTCATTTAAGATATTCTCTTTGTTCAAAAATGCGTCCAATCTGGTAAAATATACTTTTTCTAATATTTTTGAGAATTGTGACAGAAGGGATATAGGTCGGTGGTTGGAGAAGATACGCTTATCTCCACTTTTGTGAAGCGGAATGACTTTAGCTATTTTCGTTTTGGTAGGAAATATGCCGGTTGTAAATGATAAGTTACATATATAAGTAAAGGGATGGATAATATTCTCCATTATATGTTTTATTATTATTATGTCTAAATTGTCACAGTCAGTTGTTCTTTTATTGATGAGTTTTTTTTACAACTTCTCTTTTTCATTAGTCACTGGATTTAATAACATGCTATTTTTGTTACTTATAATTTTTTCTCCTATCTTATAATATGTTCTTTTTGGAATGTTGTTTGCCAAGCTTGGTCCCACATTAGTAAAGAATTTATTCAATTCATTGACGACTTTCTTTGGATCGTTTATTTCAGCGTCTTCGTTTAAAAAATAATTCAATTTTGCCCTCCATCTCCTGTGATTCCTCCCTGCAGTGGTGCACAAAGATGGGAAGAACTCTCGGCTGTTCGTGTTCACCATCCACTCTCAGCACACGTCCTCTCACCCGGCCCAGACTCTGGACGTGGCGGCCGACAGCTTGGAGGATCTGAACGATTGGGTCAGCAGAATTCGAGAGGCCACGCAGAACGCTGACGCCCGGGTCTGTACCACGCTGCACACACCTGCTAGAGCTTTGAGGTTGCCTTTCAAGAAACACTTTTTATCAAATATGGAGGGTTAGCATACGTATGTAATTTGGGTGTTTTTTTAAGCTCAGTATACTACACTACATTGGACCAATAAGATGTGAATTTCTATATAAATATGGAAATCCAGTCTGATTGGTCTTTGAATGTTTAACCAGAAGAATTAGAATTCCTTGTTTATTCAAGGATAGTAACACACTTCGTATTAATTCAGAGAGTCAAGTTTATAAAAGGTGAGACATTTATTTTCTAAACCATTAAAAACATGACAACTAGGAACACTTTAGGTGATGGATGAATCTAAGTGGAAGGAATGTGAGGTGTGATGATGTGAATGTGATGTTATCAGAACCCTCGTATCTGGAGAAACTGACTTCTGAGTGGGACTGAATTTGGTTTGCTGTAAACTATAAGTGATGGTTTATAAAACCACATCAGACGCAGTCTGTCAAGTCTACGTACCCTTATCTCAGACTCTTTTTTGAATCCGAGATGTTGCCGAGTTCGTGGACCCCATGGTACCGAAGTCCGTAGAGAAACCGCAGTACGACCAGGTCAGTCCAGAGTCGTCTCCAGGTCACGACCAACAGGTGGACTTGTTTTGCGTCTACGGAAGGACTCTTAAGGAGTCGGAGCTGGTTCAGCTTCATTCTGAAGGAACCGTTTGCGGTATCAGCTGTAGCGTGCAGCAGGTTTTGACAGCTTGTCAAAGATGCGACGTGAGAAGAGGCTTCTTCCAATGGCCAGTCAGAGTTGGGCTCAACTGACTCACTCAGGAAGTGACACTGTTGTAATAACGGCCACATTTCGGTTTACTGATAAATCAGAACTTGCCCTGTAAATGGGTTTTGCCAACAAACTCAGATACACGCCTCCCTCAGATATGAAGATGCTGCCTTTGTGGATAAGAAAATATCTACGTGCAGTGACGTTAATTTTAACTTGCGTCATGGAGATATGGTGAGTGTGTCTTGTCCAGTCAGTGCGCTGATTAAATATACTGGTCATCTACTTCATTTCATCCTTATTAATCTTTCAATGTAATAATAATATTCATTTCAACTTCAGTAATTTAAGCACAGATTAATCAAAACATTTCGTCCATTTCACTATATGATTAGTTACTCTTATTGTTCATCCGTCTTATTCTAAACCCAGTCTTAGATTAGAGGGAGCTTGCGAGGGAGCTTGGGCAAACAACAGTATCTTTCTTGCAGATTAAAGGCACCAGTTAAGACTTATGTCTCCAAATGACCAGATACTGAAGAGGTCAGACTGTAGGTGGAAAACTGACCATTTCTGGAGACTACACACATAAGTAACGCCTGATTATAGACTGCAGGATTGCAACTTTACTCTTTAATGCATACCTGTTTAAAGATTATTGGCCCACTGAGTGTGGGAGGATGTTCATTAAGCAGCGGTGTGGCTGTCTGATCGTTATGGTAACAGATGCAGGAGGAGAAACAGATGGAGAGGAGGAAGAAGATCGCTGTGGAGCTCTCGGATCTCGTGGTTTACTGCAGGCCGGTCCCCTTCAGCGAAGACAGTGAGGATCACATTTCTTTCTCAAAGTTTTTTCATGTTTCTGAACATTTGGTTTCCTGGGTTGTCTGTCGTTTGCAGAGATCGGGACGGAGCGCGCCTGTTACCGTGACATGTCGTCCTTCCCGGAGACAAAAGCAGAGAAGCTTGCGACTCACGCTCGAGGGAAGCGCTTCCTGCAGTACAACCGCCGGCAGCTGTCCAGAGTTTACCCCAAAGGACAGAGACTGGACTCGTCCAATTATGACCCGCTGCCCATGTGGCTCTGCGGCTCCCAGCTGGTCGCACTCAATTTCCAAACTCCAGGTCGGCGTCTTTTTTTGTTTTTCCTCAAAAATACAAATGTTTTTGCTGATTCGTCTCCGATAGAAATGAATATCATCCATCTGCAGATAAACCCATGCAGCTGAACCAGGCCTTGTTCATGCTCGGAGGCGGCAGCGGCTACGTTCTCCAGCCCGACATCATGAGAGAAGACCTCTTTGACCCTTTTGATAAGAACACGCTGCTCGTTGAGCCAATCACCATCCAGCTGCAGGTCAGCCTTCATCACTCAGCCACTCAGAAGCCAGTTTGGTCATCAAAAGGTTCGCCATTTAATATCCTGTTTTCTGATTGAACCAGGTGTTGGGAGCTCGTCACCTCCCCAAAAATGGGCGGAGCATTGTTTGTCCGTTCGTAGAGGTGGAGATCTGTGGAACCGACTACGATAACTGCAAGTGCAAGACGGATGTTGTAGGTGAGACAGCTGCTCTGGCGTCGGCTGGTTCTGTGCTTCGGCGTCACGTTAACCCCCCCCCCCCCCCCCCCCCCTCCCTCTCGACCCTCCCAGCTGATAACGGTCTGAATCCCGTGTGGGTGCAGAAGCAGTTTGTCTTCGACATCCACAACCCCACCTTCTCCTTCCTGCGCTTCACCGTCTTTGAGGAGGACATGTTCAGTGACCCCAACTTCCTGGCGCATGCCACG